AGTAAAAAGGAACTCACCTTGTGGTATAACCGGCAAGAGAGAAAGCCTTTGAGCTCCATACTGTTTCAGAGAGAATCCTTGATAATCCATGATATGGCGTTTCATCACGGCAGTATTTAGTTTAGACAGTAGCTGCCGGGTCCCGCATGAGCTCAGACCCCTCCTCTTTTTATTTTTTAAAGCTTTATACCCAAATCAGCACTTTTGAAACAGGAAGTGAAACAGAGGGATATGAGGCATGGCTAGAATGGGTGATCTGTTTGGTATTTTGAGCAAAACACTTCATAGACATGTTTTTTATATATTTGTATATATCTGAGACCTATGCTATTGCCTACAAATAGCATGATAGGTGACCTTTAAAACCTGAACACAAGGAAGACTTAGAATATTCTCCTAATGGGGGGGTGCGCTGAAATAAAAACACGAGTCAAGATTTGAACCCGAACAAAGACCAATGAGAAAGCACTTTATTAAAGCAAAACATCTTTAACAAAAACAGCCAGCAGACAGAAAACCAACATATCTTAAAAAAAACAAAAATCTCTGAAGGTCAAAGGCTGTTTGTTTTCTTTCTCCCCCGATATTCTTTTTTGTATATATACACATTTATATATATATATAATCTCTACAGTCTCTAGTATTGCAGCGTCTCCGAGACTCAAGGCCACGTTTCCTCTTTTCCCTTCGACAAAATAATAATAAGAACAACAACAACAACGTCCGTCCTGTTAAAGATGATTATCCCTCAGCCGCTGATTGGCGTTCATGAAGAGACGTAATAAACTCTAGGATTTATGTACAAAATGTAAACACAAGCAAGGTGTAGATAAAACTGTGGATTCCTCTTCGCTCCAAACGTGGCGCCCGATGAAGCTCCGCCCCCTCACAGATGATGAATGCGTTTTTATGTTTTTTACTCATTTACACGTTAAATAATGTCCGAAAATACTCCTCAAAATCACTTTAATTTAAAAATGACGTCTTCAAATGTCTTGCTTTGTCCAAAGATGTGAAATGAATAATGATTTCAAACTGAGAAGAATCCTTTCAATGGAAAAACTGTTTTGATAATCGCGTAAACGTAAAAAATAAAAAAACTGATTTCATTGCTTTTTTGATTGATATCATATTAAACTGAGTATCTTTGGGTTTTTAAACCTGACAAAACAAGACATATTCTGACATCACTTACACTTTGGTAAATTGAGGATGGATATTTAATCTGACTTTTTTAGATGAAACGAAACATAGCAATCCATATTAAATCAAAAATAATGAACTACAGCAGCAGTTTGCATGTATGGGTTCATCTGGACATCACCACCTCAGAACAGGACTTAATGATGATTTGATATTAACCCTAAGTGATATGATATTGATATGAACTCATGATGATACGGTTGGAGAGTCTTATTGACAGGATTTTAGTATTAATCAGAAACGAGTTTTAGTTGAACTTGCACTAAGTATCAGCTGATCTTCAGGTTTTAATCTCAGCAGCAGTGAAGGAGAAGAAGTCCTGAACGAGACCCCTCCTCACTAACGAGCTCCTTTTAATTAGCCAACTAGCCTTAATGGATGCTGTGAGGAGGCGGAGGAGCAGCAGGGGGCGCCGCTCTGACCGCATGAAGCAACTCAGGTCGACGTGACCTCCAAACTCATGAAGGTTAAAGTTTGCTTACCTTTTAAAATAGTTCTTATTTATTTATTTATTTATTTTAAACACTTCAATTGTTGCACACAGATGTGTCCAAAGGGATATTTTTTTGAAGGAGAAGTCTGAGCTGCTGTTGCATCATGGGAGCTGGAGTTCATGTCAGCATCAGTGACCTATTTCTCACACACACACACCAACACACACACACACACACACACTCAGTCTCTGTCGTCGTGGTGACGGCGGCTCCTGTAGATCGGCACGTTGATGCTGTGGAACGCCGGGACCCAGCGGTTGTCATGGAGACCCACGTTGCAGCCCAGCATGTCCCTGCGGGCGCCATGGCAACACATCCAGTACCCGGGCCCGTACGGCAGCGCCTGGCAGTACGGCTTGTGATGCCAGCGGCACAACGACACATCGCCGCGCACGTACCGTCTCTTGCACTGCTTGCAGGGGTCGTCACGGTAACGAGGGTCCGAAACCCAGAGCGAGTCGGCGGGCCGGACGCCGTAGTCCTCGATGATGAATCTGAAGTAGTTGCAGGAGCACTTGAGCGCGGTGAGGCTCTGCGTGGGCAGCAGACTGAAGATCTTCAGCAGGATGTGGTGCGGCAGAACGGCCAGAAAGGGCTGCGGCTCCAACAGCTGCTGCAGCCGCTGACGCATCAACAGGAAGTCCTGCGACGCAGAGGGGCGCCGCACCAGAGGAACCACGGCAACAGGCTCCTCCCCCTGATGCCTGTCTGCCTTCCTCCTCCTCCTCCTCTTCTCTGATTGGCTGCCAGAGTCACAGGGAGCAGGAGGGGGGCTGAGCTCCAGGTCAAAAGACATTCTGTGGCGGCGAGGGGTCCGGGGCACTGAGGAAAGAGGGGGGCGGGACAAAAACAACAAACCGGGCTGAGGCTCCGCCCCCTCGGTGAGTGAGAGGGGAAGGGCTTCTGTCTGAGTGACAGTGACAGGGGTCAGTGTTTCTTCTACCACCTCCACCTCACCTGAGGGGGGCGGAGCTGCTGGTGTTTCTGGGCAGCTGATTGGCTCGCTGTCATCACTCTGAGCTCCCAGCAGTGATGATGATGATGATGTCATCGCTGATGGAGATGACGGGCAGGTGCTCTGATCTGAGGCGGGGCTCTGATCTGAGGCAGCGAGCAGCACTCTTCCCACCGCCCTCCTCAGGCTGTTGCTCCTCGACAGATCGCCCTCCGTCCTTCTCTTCAGACACTCTGACTCCAGCTTGGCCACCATGTCCGACACCCTGACGCTCTCTGGCTCCTCCCCCCTGACCTCTGACCCCTCGGGAGGCAGAGCTCTGGACAGCGTGATGGAGGCGGAGCTCCTCTGGAGGGTCAGCAGAGGTTTGGAGTCGGGCTGCTGCTCGCTGGCTAACTGCTCCAGGAACGCCACCATTTCCACGACCGACACCTTCTGTTCCTCGTCCTCCGGCGGCGCCTCGTTTGCACACGGCCCGCCGCCTGAATGCAGCGTTGACACCGCTCTCAGTGGAGATGGACTGAGGACGTGTTGCTGTGTCTCCTGGTCTCCGGGCTTTGCGTCCTGCTGGAGGTTCTGGTTGTTCCCCGACCTGCGGCGCCTCTTAGCGTTACAGTTCTCCTCCCAGCTCCCCTTCGCCTTCACCCCTCGCAACATTCCCGACATCACCGCTGTGTTCGTGCAGACTTCCGGCGTCCGCTCCTGGTTTTCTGTGCCGCCGGTTGAGGTGCGTTCACTGCCTTCAGCGCCGTCCGTTTGCTCTTCGTCTGAAGCGAAGATGGCGATCTTTTCCCGGACGTGTCCAGGCTTGATGACGGTCCAGATGTCCAGCGGGGCGTCTGTTTCCTCCGTGGTGGTTTGGTAGAATCTGATCCCGTTGTTCTCGCATCCCGCCACGCTGCTGCTGCTGATGTTGTTGTTGTTGATGATGGCGTTGCTGCAGCGCATGGTGTTGGTGGAGATGACGCTGAACGGGAGGCGGCTGATGTTGTTGGCATTGTTGCGACTGCAGGTCCTCATCAGCGCCCCCTGCTGGTTCACAAACAGGCTGCTCCGCTGCGATGTCTGAACCCCGGACGCATCCAAGCGCAACTCTGAGCGCATGAGCTTCGGATACGACTTCAGGTGCATGATGGTCCTGAAAGACAAGCAGGGAGAGGGCATCAGATGTTTAGATAAAATAACAATAAAAGACATTCAAACAAGACTTTATTGTCAACACCTAAATCGAACAAAACATGAAGTGAACAAACTGGACATTACAAATCAACCACATTGGGCACTTTAATAAATCCAAACAAGTTGAAGGTATTTAAAAGTTATTCCAATAATCAGTGAAGTGTCTCCTGACAAACAGAAGAAGAATAAACAAAGCTCAGCTCGGGCCTTTCAAGGACACATTTCTCTCTGCGGCTGAAAACAAACACCTCTTCAAATCATGTCATCACACTTATCCCTCCGTCTCTCTCCTTCATTATCGAGAGAGGATGCCTTATAAGCTCAGGTTCTTCAGATAGATACTAACTGAGTGTCTGCGCTGCGACATGCCGTTACACTCTGAGGTGTTTTTGAATGAAGCAGAGAGAAGTGTTCTTCTTTGGTGGGAGCAGGAGCTAACACTAAACTCCTGGGAGGATTGCTGAACGAGGCTTCGGGGCTCAGTGTCAGGGGCCCTCACCGACAACATGTCACTCAGAGAGACTTGTAGCTTTGTGAAAAAGATCACACAGGCAACTAAAACACGTAAGAACAGAGACACAACGTGAATAAAAAGAGACCAAGAGAACTACAAACAGATGCAAAACGCCAAATGACTACAAAGAGGCAAGAAATGAAAAAAAAGAAGGACACAAACAACAAAACCACTCAAAATAACAAATAAAAGACAAAAATGACTACTAAGATAAACACAACAACCACTTGAAATTACTACAAAAGAAACACAACAAGTACCAAGAGACTCCAAATGAAACCAAAAAGGGAATCTTGAGCATAACAAGACACAAAATGACTGAAAAGAGACCACAAAAGATTCAAAACGATCCCAGAAGTAAAACCGAAATACCACAAAGACACTCAAAATGACTACAAAGAAACAGAAAAACACTAAATAGAAATGCAAAAGACAAAGTCTGAGTCTGGCTCCTGTGTAGGAGAGGTGAGTCATTCATTCACGACTATCCTCCAGGGGGCGCTGTGTGAAACAGACTTTCTTAAACAGAGTTTTTGTAGGAAACGTTCTACTGCATCTGCATAATTAAATATTCACTTACAGGTGTTTTCCTAAGCTTTAAACCACACGTCACAGCCTTCATCAGCGCCATGCTCAGAGACAGAGAACTATTGACAACTCTGGAAAAAGATCTAAAATGAACCTAAAGTAAAAGATCATTTCACCTGTTATGTTTGTGAGCTTTGATTGACAGGTGTCTCAGCGAATCACAGCCTCTGTTTCGGACACTTCCTTTCCTCGCCTTTACTCTGAATGTTTTCTGTGTTCTCTCCCAACCACATGTACAGACATGTGCAGGAACACACTTATTTTAACTAGAGGATTACACACACACACACACACACACACACACACACACACACACACACACACACACACACACACACACACACCCTCTCTCTCTCACACACAGACACACACAGACACACACACACACACTCTCTCTCTCT